TCACCCCACGTCCTCCATGGACAGAACAAAATCCACACCCAAGGGGTCAGAGGAAGTGCTGTGAAGGAGGTAGAGCTGGGGGACAAGTTTGGCCCCCGAGACCCCAAGGACCTCAGCAGTCCTGTGTGAGAAGAGGCCAAGGGTCAACCACAACAAGAAAAGCACCATTCCCTGCTGAGGCCAGGCAGCTCCAACCTCAACATGCAAGCACTCTCTTCCTTCTCTGCTCACTGCTCTCCCAGAAGCACAGGAAGCAGGTTCAAGACGTACCCCCTTTGACAGACACAGAAATAGAAGCACAGAGAACTCAACACACTTGCCCAAACACAAAGCAGGCGGCACTCCTCCGGGACATGCATTCATCTACTTTATGCTCCTGGGCTGAAATCATATTCCTGGGGTCCACAGCACGTCCAGGAGCCTGAAAGGGGACCAAGAAACCCAGTCTCAGCCTAGCAGAATGAGCTCCATGAACAAAGGGCCAGGCCAGGTCCAGGCACTCACAGAGTTCAGTCTGGTAAGGGGGGCACGCCAAGATGCGAACGCTTCAGAGCAGCAACGGGAGGGACGATCACTGATGTTCTGCAAAGAAGGCAGAGGGTGATCTGGCAAGGTCACAAGAAGGGCTGGGAGGCTCAGGAGGTCAGGCATCAGCCACAACCAGGGCCTCAGAGGCACAGAGGCCAGTAGCAGCTGACTTGCCCAGGGGCACCCTGAATGCAGAGAACACCGGGCCATGAAACCCAATGACTGATCAAGTACAAAAACCAAAGGGAAGACCCGCAGAGCTCACTGATGTCGGGTGTATTCACTGGTTTGCTAGAAAAGGCTGAGCTGTCAGCACCTGGGAACCGTTCAGCTCCTCTTGGATTTGGAAGGGAGGCCGTGCGGAGGTTCTGGCTCTACCAGGCCGGGGTAGGGGCAGAATCCTGGCTATGTGGCTCCATAATGTTGTAATGTTTTGACTATGCAGGTATAGATTACTTTGCAAGAAAAGAGATGCCACACACAGGGAGTCTCAAAACACCAGTCAGGCCCTTAGCTGCCCTTGCACATGACAGCTCACGCACACACTTACATCTGCCCCACGCTGGCCTGGGCGGTGTCCTCTCCCCTGGCCCCAGTCTGGCTGCGGTGCTGAGCTCCGCCCTCCTCCTGCATCCCTGCCGGTGCACGCACATGCGCTGTGGGGATGCTCTTCCAAGCACAGGAGTGGCCAGGCAGCCCTGGAGCTCCAGGTGCTCCACAGGCCCCATCCTGGTCCCTGCTATTCATAGTCACAGTAACTGTCCTTTTATGAATTGCCTTTCCTGGCCCCCAGACCAGAAAGCACCTGAACACAAGCCTTGGGTCTTGCCCACCTGGGAGCCCCAAACATCCAGTCACAGGCCTGGCACATAGCAGGGGAGAGGTCAATGAGGGAGGGAGGGAGGGAGGGAGGGAAGGAAGGAAGGAAGGAAGGAAGGAAGGGCGGGCAGGTGACAGGTCAGTGAGGAAGGACGGAAGGAGTGAACAAGCCCCCGATCTCATGCTGGGCCCTGCCCAGGGCAGTGGTCTGTGTCTGGGACTCGGGGATCCTGGGGGCAGCCAGAAAGAGGTTTCCTGGCTCCCTTACAACTCCCCTTGGCTGGACAGCATGGCCAGCACACAGGAAGGGCTGCACTCATCCCTCTGCTGGTCTGCAGGGCCAGCCTGGGATCACAGCCCCTGGACTTCACCCCCAAATGTCCTTGTGCTCAGATACAGGGGAAGCCAGCCGAAGGTTTAAGGGTCAAGACCCTCAAGAGCAGTGTGTCCTCTGCCCCAGCACAGATCTCAAGGTGCAGAGGGAGCCTCAACAAGAGGCAAGGCTGCATGAGGACTCAGTAGCAGGGGTGCGGGCCGATGGCGGAGACCCTCTATGCAGATTCTGATAGGGCTAAAATTATTGATGGGGGTGCTTTCTACCCAGGAGACCAGAGTTCACACCTCCAGTTGCTGGAAACCAAGGCCACACCAAAAGAAGCCATGCGAGTGACCAGCTCTGGTGACAGACAACTGTCACAACCATCAGCCTCAACAGCCCCTTCACACAGACCGCACGCTCCTCCCCCCTCCTGAAGAGTCCTCGGGCAGTGACCTTAGCAACTAGACAGGGGTCACGTGTGCCCCATGCTGGAAGAAAATGGAAAAAGCTCAGAAAGATCTTTTTGTGGCTCTTTGGGCTGGGACTGCCTTTCTCACATCTGAAACTCTGTCCCCAGGGTGTGTCCTGAGCTGAGCCCTGTGCAGGTTGCAGGCTTGGCTGTATTTTGTGAAGACAAAGATATGAAAATGGCCGCAGCCCCGTTCGTTGTTTCTGATACTCCCCGCTGCATCTGGTGCTGGCAGGGCTCGGGTGACAGCACGTGACACGGGGAGACTGCTGGCTCGCAGCCACCGCCGGAGGGCTCCGCGACTCGTGCCATAGCCGGCCAGGTCAGCCTGAGAGCGACAGCCGACCCCACCACCCGCCAGGTGCTGCCACTCACGTGGGCCTGAGGAGCCCCCATTTGTCCATGTCACCGGGGCTGGTGGGCCGCACTGGGGTCCCCGCGGCATACGCCCTCCTCACGTTGTCACTCTGGACTGCCTGGTCAGTGGACTGGACTAGAAATAGGAGCCTATTGTGTGTATGCACAAAACCCACCAAGATAAGGCAGGTAGTTCATAGACTGAGAAAAAGCTAACATATGTTAAAAATAGCCAAAGGATACGAAAATAAAATAGATACTGAAAACAATCCCCAAACCCCAAACCACCTTATTGTAAACACTGCAACACTGCCCGTCCCGAAGGGAGGAAGAGAGTTCCTTGTCCCTCCGATGGGATGCAAGCCCTCGAGTTAGGCGGCACCAGAACGAAGATGCGTTCATGCTGGCGGCGTCCCGAACGAGAAACACTGGATTTCCAGAGGCCGCTGGGACTGCCCAACCTGTGCTTTCCTGAAACGTAAACATTATCCTCCACACACACACCATCTACTTTCCCTGCTGGCTCCGACAGATCCAGATCTGCCTGTGGATTCCACGGAAACTGCCGCACAAAATGTACGGCCATGTACACAGCTGAAGCACTACCAGAGATGCCGGCCCCTGCCCGCTTCCCGACAGGGTGTGGGGAGTAAAGCCACGATGAACATACGATAAAGAACGAGTAGGAAAACTGCAGCTATGGGGTGGATCACTGAACACAGACATTTGATTTGCTGGCTGGCTTCTGCCTGCAGACTTTCCTGGCACTGGCTCGCTGCCACGCAAATTAAGTAAAAATCAATATCCTCCGGTCTGCAAAACATCGTGTTAACAATCACACTGCAAACAACTTATATAATACCCCTCACTCCATACCCAAATAACGGTGAATGTTTTAAGGCAAGTGTAAAATAAACAGGAAAAAGGAAAGAAAAGAAAAAAGAAGGCAATCTTACAGGTCCTCCTTCAGCAAAACCTTTCCACGACTTGGGTGAGGAGATAATCTTTCTGTGATTATGACCAAACTCTCCCGTCACTTAGCAACACATAATTAAGGAATATGTTTTCAGATCCGCTTTGCAGGCCCGGCCATTATCAGATGAAATTACTGGAGCAACAAATGTCATCGCCATGCAAATTAGTTGGCTGCAAAGAAAGAATGTTTGACTCAGAGAGCAGGCACAGGCCCTCGGAAAAATTATCTGACGTCCCTCCTGCCGCACATGTATTCGAGAAAGTCAAATAATGATGTGATCAGACTTGAAAAAAAATCCATGAGACAAAATCAGAATCTATACGACAACACAGAAAATCAGGCCAGTTGCTCAGTCTCCACTTGGAAACAAAAAGCAAAATGCCTGCAGGTCATCTCTAGGAGGTAATATTAATAGCAGAAGGACCACACAGTGATGGCAGAGACACTTAAGGGGGGGTCTCTGCAGGGTTGTGAGGTCCAGCGCCTCGGTCCCCGCCTACAGTTGCTTCAAGGCTATTTTCAAAAAGGTAGATCTTACTGTTTCACCCTGTTTTTCACAAGCTATTCAGGAAAAAAAAAATTATTTGAAAAGGATTCTGTTTTCTGAGTTATGCAGGGGAGGCAGGCGGGGAGGAAAGAAGTATGTCTGAAAGGAAGAAAACTGATTTACATTTTAAATTTTTGGTCAAGACTTTAGAGTTAAAATAAAAATTCTAAATGGTGTTCTGAGGACGCCCACCTAGGACTTCATCCACAATGTCCAAGGAAACACACGCCATAAATTACACCTGGCACACGTTGGGAAGAAAACCACCTACCACCAACTCTCCCTTTCCTGGACTTGGAAATATATTCTTCCCTTCAAGCAAGCGGAATTCCCAACTGTATTTTCTGATATGAGAGACTAAATCTGTTTTTGAAACAGAGAGTTCTGAGGGATTTCAACATCTTGCTTTGTTTAACCCACAAGTATGCAAACACACACATTTTCATCTCCACGGTGGGTAATGACTGCCTCCGATATGACGTGCGGACCCGTGAGAGGTACGTTTCCACACGATCACGCCCTTCTAAATGGAGGATGCACGCTTTAGAGCCAGCATTTGATGAAACATTCCTGCCTTCTCCAAAGCTCCCCAGTGTGAACTAGAGAAAAGGCCACCCCTTGTGAGCTCAAGGCTGCAGTCTGTTCTGAGTGACTTCTGAGTTTTTCCAAGAAACACAGTGGAGTTATATACCACTGTCAAGGGAAATCTACAAATCAACCCGACCTCAACTAAAGAACAGGAGGGCACTGCTGCCCCAGCAGATCTGGCCTGATACGCAAATCTGATTAACCTAAGAGAAGCCGTGTCAACTGGTCACAGGGCTGCATCCGTCTTGTTTGGTGGGGTGTGTGTGTGTGTGTGTGTGTGTGTGTGTGTGGCCTGGCGAGTGAGGACTTGCCATCCTATGTTCAAACTTCCACAACCCCGCACCCCCCTGCTCCCCAACCAGGTCCCCAGGCAGGGCAGGTGGGGAGGATGTATTACTTGGTTCTGGTGCAAGCATGGTGGACACGATGATGGGCGCCCCCGTGCGCCGGGCCACCTTCTGGTACGGTGAGTGAGGTGTGTGGAGGCTCTGGCTGGCCGTCGGCAGGGTGGATGGCCCCAGGGGCGCACCTGGCTTCCGCAAGACCTGGGGGCTGCCGTGAGGGCTGGGCAGCGGAGAGGCGGCCACGTTGCGCTCCCTCTTTAGCAGCTCCATGGGCACCGTGTATGCTGTGGAGTAGGCTGTTCTGGGGCCTGGGTGAAGGGGGTTCGAGGGGCCCGGGTTAGTCAAGGCCACCCCTGCCTGCAGGGGGTACGTGGGGCTCAGACGCGCCGTCAGGGCGCAAGGGGTGGGAGAGCTGTACCCGGAATTGGAGGGAAAGTGGGGGGCATGGGCACCCACGCCAGGGGCAGAATAGGTGGCCGCCGTCTCCAGGAGGTGCTGAGATGGTGCGCTGGAGGGGCGGCGAGCCGCATCTCCAGCTCGGGGGGCTGCTGTCTGCAGGGGACCTGCAGGCTGGGGCTGCAGGGCTGCAGTGCCCAGAGAAGCCAAGTCACCATGGAGCAGTTCGCTTCGGTGGCTGAAGCTGCTGGACCGCGCCCGGGGCAGGGGGCCCACCCGGTCCTGCCTCCGCAGCTGCATCTCGGTCCTGCAGCTGCTGGCCAGGCGGCTCAGAACACGGGCCTGGCCCAGGTTGGGTGCGACAGACTTGATATCCGCGTCCTCCAGGGTAGCCAGGACGGCTGGGGAGTCAAAGCCCTGCTGTAGCAGGGCTGCCAGGGTGGCCTCCGCCAGCCCCTCCGCCCGCAGAAAGGCCAGGAATTCAGGGGGCACGGTCCTCTTGCCACCAGGACCCTGGAATGCGGACAGGTCAGCTTCGTAAGTCTCGTAAGCCATCTTGGACGGGATGCTTTCCTGGGCAGGCCCGTAGCCTCGATTCAGGGCCCCTGGGGCCACCCCTGTACTGCCCTCGGGGGCGGTAGCTGAGCTGGGGTCCACAACCAGGCACGTCGGGGCCACCTGTCTGGCAGAGGCAGGGTCAATGGGTCTTTCGCCGATGTCGCTGAAGACTTGGCTGGGGGGGTAGGCAGGCGCCTCCGCCCCATACCTGGCGTTGGGCTGCTCCCGTCCATACCGCCCGGGGGATGCAGCCCTGCTGTGTGTCCGCTGCCCCTGAGGGATCATTTTACCTCCAGGATCCCGGTACAGGTGACCGGCGTCCTGCAGGGCAGGTGACCGGCCTTGCATTTGATCCCATGACGTTCTGCTGCCAAACGCTCCATGGCTGGGGGCCGGCCGGCTGACTCCTGGGTCCCGATAGAGGGGAGGCTCTTTGGGTGCCCTAGCAGCTCCGGACGGGTCACTGTAGTAATCCCGTGGCAGCAGGGGGCCGCGACCAGACATCACTGCCTGTCTGCTGTCGTAGAAGGTGAAGTCAGGAGTAGACCCCTTTCTTGCAGCCACTGAGTTATAAACGGCCTCCTGGTACAGGTAGGGCTCAGCGGCCCCGGGCAGGGCAGCGTCCTGTGGTCGGTGGTTTGGCTCAAACCAAGTCCCCTGTGCCGTGCCATACGTCAGGGAGCTTCTCCTCCCCAGAGGCCGCAGGGACTCGGCGTTCTCCCAGGGGCCCTCGTACCACCCGGCAGCATCCCAGCTCTGAGAACGACCAATATTTATATGCCTGCTGGGAACTGGCATTGGAAAAAAAACGACTGCGGACGAGGCAGAGGAGAAGCTTTTCTTTATAAATCTTCAATTACATACATCAAACACAGACCTGGCTGTGTGCTAACCCTTCCGAGACGACGGCAGGGACAACCAACAGGGGTTTTCTGTTTCAAAGCATGGCCTAAATTATTAATCCTCCGAAACCTTAGCAGACAAAACATAAGACTCACGGTAACTTTGCCTCACTCCCCAACGATAGCCAGAGAGGTCTGTTCCTTACAGCTCAGTCCCAGAGAGGAGGCTGTCCCCAGCCTGCCAGGTCCCCCTTCCTAGCTGGTGTGCTCACATGGACCGGGGCTCTCTCAGCATGAGGATTAGGAGCTAAATAAAACCCCTAAAGCTTTGTTCCATGTGACATCTCGTTAGACTGATGAAGCCGGCAGCTTGCTCCATCCAGCCCTCCCAAGCTGCAACTGGGATTTACTTCCACACTGAAGCTCGGGTTTATACTCCCCTTTCTGCACCAGGGTACTTTTAGGATGAACACTGTCTCCCCCTCTGGACAGGGCTGCTCCCACCCCCGCCACTGATTCCTGAGAGGCAACAGAAGCAAAATAAGGCTGCTTCAGTGTCAGTCCACTCTTAATCCACCGCGATGAAACGTTAATCCATGGCACAGCTAAACACAAATTAAATGTGGATAAACAGAAAAAGGTCCACACGTGATCCTAGGCCATGGATGTCTAGCCCAAAAAAGGGACCAGCTCTGAAACCTGATGCTTTGATAATACTGAGATCTGGCTTTGAGATGACTCTCTGGTTGTGAATCAAAGCCCAAATGCATTCTTTACCTTATTACTGCGAAACACAGATCCGCTCATACTGCCGTGGCAGTGGGGCGGGGGGCTGGGGGAAGGGTGTGTGTGCCAGGGAAGGGCGTGTGTAATCTGGAATTTAAAGTGACTGCAACAGAGGTCACAGGAACAGGAGGATGGGCGACTAAACCTTACACTGCAAAGCAAAACTGGGAAGCGGCTGCATCTGAATATCTCATCTTCTTTTAGGTACGTCAGAAAGAAAAGCCTAATTCCAGCAGGCTTAGATCCTGCAGATGATTTTCCGTATTCACATGGATTAAGCTTTCAGAGTCCACAAAGGACTTTGGCGCAATAATGCAAAGAAGAGCAGTTATTTAGATAAAGGAGCGCCCCAAAGTATTAAGACATTTCCTTAAACATATAGAACAGTCCCAGAGAAGCAACATCCCAGACTAACACGGTAGGTTCCTGCCCTGCAGGATTCCCATGACAAAGAATTCACAGCAAAAATAAAAGCCGGTGATTAGGAAGCTACAAAGGCTATACACACTGAAAGCATTTTAAAATGAGACAATATGCATACCTGCAAGCTTTAAACCCAAGAGTGCTGTTCCTCACTCACATCTCTCTCAATCTAGCACTCTACTAGAATCTTCTAAAGAGAAATACTAGTATTTTTTTTTTTCTTGTGACGGAGTCTTGCTCTGTTGCCCAGGCTGGAGTGCAGTGGCGTGATCTCGGCTCACTGCAAGCTCCACCTCCTGGGTTCACGCCATTCTCCTGCCTCAGCCTCCTGAGTAGCTGGGACTACAGGCACCCACTACCACGCCTGGCTAATTTTTTTTTGTATTTTTAGTAGAGACGGGGTTTCACCGTGTTAGCCAGGATGGTCTTGATCTTCTGACCTCATGATCTGCCCGCCTCGGCCTCCCAAAGTGCTGGGATTACAGGCATGAGCCACCGCACCCGGCCCTAATGTTTTTTTTTTTTTTTTTTTTTTTTGAGACAGAGTTTTGTTCTTGTTTCCCAGGCTGGAGTGCAATGGCACGGTCTCTGTTCACTGGAATCTCCACCTACTGGGTTCAAGCAATTCTCCTGCCTCAGCCTCACAAGTAACTGGGATTAGAGGTGTGCGTCACCACGCCTGGCTAATTTTTATATTTTTAGTAGAGACTACCATGTCTCCATCTACTTCACCATGTTGGCCAGGCTGGTCTTGAACTGACCTCAGGTGATCCACGCGCCCTGGCCTCCCAAAGTGCTGGGATTACAGGCGTGAGCCACTATGCCCGGCTAACACTTCAGGATTAAGCCACCTTGCTAATTTCCTCTCCTTGTTGTAATGAACAATGTGACATTATGTGGTGTTAGTACTACGTAACCCCACTCAGGGTGCAGGCACACCCCTCAAAGATGGGTGGATGAACTCGGAGCATTCCAGGAAAATCCCCCATGCCGTCTTTTTGAAGCAGGGTAAGGTAGCTCTGCTGACTCACCCACTTATTTACTATCTGGTTTTCAGCTCAGCAAGTTCTCAAATGGAAACAGGGCTCTATAGAAGAATGTTTACCTGGTAACTCCTAAGAAACCAGTAATGATTCTTAGGGAGGTTCCTGAGCTGGTGTTCAAGGGTGATGGCAGGAGCAGGGGCAGATGTGGGCAGATGAGCTTTGGGGCGGCGTCAGCCTCCCATTGGACCAGGAGGCCCAGCTTCCATTTCTATCAGCTTCCAACCTGTTCTGCTTGGAAACCACCCAAACTCACAGAGCCTCGGCTCTGAGATTTGACAAATATTATGATAGATGTTTTCCCATGCTAGGTAAGAACACCTGTAACTGGACTTACACTTTTCCAAACACTCTGGTTACACAAACAACACACACCACACTACAGTCTTTTAAAAAGGACTGCTTTTCTGAAAAATTCTCATGTTGACTAAAAGTGAGATGGGACCAATTAGAGTAATACATCTCATGAGCTTCATTTTTTAATTCTGCCAAAACACTCTCTGTAGAAATTATGTCAAGTAAAAATAAGATGATTGTGTAGCAGAAAAATCATCTCCTGAAAATTAAGAAAGATAAATCAAACTCTCCTGCAGACAAAATGAACCCAAGAAAAAGCCGGTTGTGTAGAATAACCCGACAGCTGTGTCGGGGAGACAGGCGATGTCCGCCCAAAGCCGATTCCGAAGTCCAGGTGCAACACAAGGTGTCAGTTACCAACAACAGAGACCTACAGAGACCCAGACAATTCCACAGATGGATCCAGAAAGTTCCAGAAGAGCTGGGAACAGCAGCCTTTGGACAAACTGCCAACAAGAGTTTCATGTTCCCACTGGAATAATCATGCAGGAAACTGCTTGAAATGAGTGGGAAAACACGACTCTGGGGTCTAATTCTCACTTTTACAGAAAAACAAGATCAGGTGGGATCAGTGAGGCTGAAGGCTGCGGTAACATGAGAGTCTCTGGCTCAGTGGCATGTCCCTCGTAGCTGTGCTGTCACCTGCCCACTCGGTGGGCTGCCACGTCTGTCTCAAGGCCTTATGAGGGGATAGCTCATTCTCAGGAGGAATCAGACCCCAATTTAGGGAACAGCTTCCCCAGGGGGGTCCAGCACCTGCCTGGGCTTCCATTCCCTGGTCCTACCTCCACCGACACGAAGGGCCAGGGCAGCTCTGCAGGTGACGGCAGAAATAAGATCTCAGGAGGCTCTTCGGTGCCTGCTGCATCCCAGGACGGAGCCACCACAGTGCCCTCTGCGTCTCCCACAGCCGGCACCTCCCCAGGGAGGCTGCGGAAGTTAGCGGGTAACGGTTTTCTGGCAGACACAGGGCAGAAAAATCGGCCTATGGCATACCCACTTCCTGCTTTTCAATGTGGACACAGCCTGTGGTGGATTTTTGTATGTTTCTGTCAAGGTAAGTGTTGTGGAATTTGTGCTATTAAAAAAGTGTTTTTGGGCCGGGTGTGTGGCTCACGCCTGTGTGGTAATCCCAGCACACTGGGAGACTGAGGGGGGGCAGATCACCTGATGCCAGGAGTTGGAGACCAGCCTGGCCAACGTGGCAAAACCCCATCTCTACTAAAATACAAAAATTAGCCAGGCATGGTGGCACACACCTGTAATCCCAGCTATTTGGGAGGCTGAGGCAGGAGAATCGCTGGAACCTGGGAGGTTCAGGTTGCAGTGAGCCGAGGTCGCACCACTGCACTCCAGCCTGGGCAACAGAGCGAGACTCCATCTCAAAAAACAAAAACAAAAACAACAACAAAAAACAAAACAAAACAAAAAAACAAAATTTTCTTTCCTCTCATCAACCCTCTGCCTCCGAAGTCCTCAACCCAAAGTAACCAACTTGGCTAATCTAATGCAAAGGGTAGGAGACTACGCCGAACGCACTGGTTACACAGCAAACACAAAGTTGGCTGGGTTTTAAAGCAGCCTTCATCTAAATCACACAAGCACACAGCAACAATTAGCAAAACTGCCCAGACATCGTTTCAGTTATCAAAGGGGCCGAGTGGCACCGCGCCCTTGCTTGCACACTGAGTGCCCTCATCAATTTCTGGGCCCGGAGCGCAGAGGCTTGGGCACCCACGCAACGCACCAAAGGTCAGGAGAGTGACGTGGAGTGTCTGAACCAAGCCAGCCCTTTCCAGATCAGCTGCATCCTAAGAAGCCCCAGCCCTCATGTCTCTCAATGTTTAGCCATGGTCAGTGAAAACAAAGGCCTGCACATTGCTTCTGACTCAATTTCTTGCCTATATTGTAAAGCGTCCTGAGAACTGCATTAGGAAAATTAGGTTTGATTACCACTCATTATGGGGTTTCAAAATAAAAAAAGCAAGCCCGTTCTCTTGCACGGCCCATTTTGAAAGTATTGGTGGTGCCAAAGTGTGCCCTGGGACCCCAGCTGGGATGCAGGACAGGCCTCACCTTGGACCATGTCAGGTTTCCCATTTCTAGCAATGGAACACACTTGACCTCAAGAGGCTTCGCTCAGCTCTGGACAGCACCTGGCACGAGATGCTCCACACAGTAGGTGCTCAATGAACACCACCCCTTCCACTCTTTAGCAGCTTTTCCTGCAGATTCCCAAAGTCTCCACCTCACCTCCACCTCCACGGTGCCCCGCCCCATCACACTCCACTGTTTTGAGGTCTCCTTGGCTGTCCTGGGATCAGAAGGTCCCAGGACTTCTTCCTTC